ACCGCCGTTGGTTGCGTGGGTGGGTCAAGCTTCATTGAGGCGGAGGCCGAAGTGGCGAGGAAAGCAGGAGCCATAACAGAGTCACTTAGGTGTAAATTATATTTTTGAGGACCTCCATATATAGTAAATATGATTTGGAGGAGAAAATATTTCATTATGACTCCTAACATAGAGCTACGTTAGGAGTCCCGTAAATTGAGGACACGCTGATTGTCCCGTAAATTGAGGACACGCCGATTGTCAGGATCTACTCATAAAACGAACGAAAAAAATAATTTTTACTGTGCCGCTCAACCCGAGACTCAGACCCACTATTTTTAAAAAGCTTCCAATAACACCACAAAGTAATCGAATAACACCACATAATACTCGAATAACACTTCATTTTTCACAAATAACATCTCGGAATATAAAATAACCCCACGGAATATTCAAATAATATGCTTAGAAGACCAAATAATATGGAGAATATGTCGAAAAACACAGTCCCAAATCAAGTAACGTAGAAGAATATTTCAATAACACCGCAAAGTAATCGAATCACACTTTATAATACTTGACTAACACTTTATTTCCACAAATAACACCACGAAATATAAAATAATCACGCAGAATTAGAAGTAACGCTGATGGAATATTCATGTAACACAACAAGAAATCTAAAAAATGCGAATGAAAATAAATAATGCAGAGGAGTATTCTTATAACACAGTGACTATTTTCGTATTACGTGTGTTATTTAAGTGTGAATCAATGTTATTCATGTATTATTCTGGTGTTATTTGAGTTTTAAAGAACTGAAAGTTGTGAAAATAAAGTAATTTCAATTGTTTCTGTTAACTTTCATGAATGACATATGTTTATTTGCTTTTCCATATCCTCATTATATGAAAGAGAACCCAAAATAGAATGTGATATGATGATAATGTTAATCCTCTTGTTAGTCACTTGTTACCCAAAATAATTTCAATAGCACTTCATTTTCCACAAATAACACCGTAGAATATAAAATAATCCTGTGGAATTAGAAGTAACGTTGATGGGATATTCCTGTAACACAACGGGAAATCTAAAAAATGCGGATGAAAATAAATAATGCAGGGGAATATCCCTATAACACAATGACTATTTCTGTAAGTGTGAATCGATGTTATTTATGTGTTATTCTGGTATTATTGGAGTTTTAAAGTACTGAAAATTGTGAAAATAAAGTAATTTCAATTGTTTCTATTATGCTGGTGCCCGGTTCATAATCCCGCCTCCGACTCCCTACGCCGAGCGCGAAATCTTGCTCACACTCCCGCTCCTGTTCGCGAAAGGTCGCGATGCCGATTCGATCGCGATCGCGAAAGGCCGCGACTGCGACCTGCGGTTTCCTTAACCGCTCCCGCCTTCCTCTTTTTGCGAAGCGAAGCATCCTTTTGTTCCTTCTTCTGTTCGTGATAAAAGCTTCGGATGGCTCTCCTTGGGTTTAGGAGTCACGGTTTGAGTTCTTCTTCGGTTTCCTCGGGATAGAGGAAGGTTTCCTCGGGGCAGAGGAAGAGAAGTGCAAGCGGTAGTTCCTTGCGGCAAAAAGACAGAAGAAAGAGAAAGAAGAAAATTGTTCTTCTTAGGCTTCTTCGTGGTGGCTTGTGGCAGAAGAGAAATTGGGTTTATTTCTCTTGTAAGTTTATCTTCTTCGTTGTATCTCGGTGTAGAGTTTTTTCGCGAGAGCAAGGAAGTGAGAGATCCCTCTTATAAGTTGAGACGATCGACTGATGTATATTCCTCAAATAGTAAAATCCCCTGCAACTCTGTAGACGTAGACGTAGTAAAATCCTCTGCAATCTGCAACTCCGTGGCCGTAGGCAATTTGCCGAACCACGTAAATCTGTGTGTTCCGCAGTGTTATTATTTTTTGGCGTGAATTTTCTCGTTCTATTTTTTGTTTCATCGTTGATCATTCTCCTGATTGATTTATATATAAACCACATCAACTGGTGTATATCTTAGATCTCGCAACAACAACTGGTATCAGATATTTGTTCAGATCGGAGGAAGAATGATGACTGTAGATGAAGTGAAAGTTTTAGAGATCGAGAAATTTGAGAGCACAGATTTTGGTTACTGGAGAATGCAGATAGAGAATTATTTTTATGAGAAGAAACTTCATCTTTCGTTAGTGGAAAAAAGAACTGAAAGGATGGATGAGGCTGAATGAAATTTGTTGGATCGACAAGTTCTAGGGGTTATTCGATTGACTCTGTCGAGATTCGTTGCACATAACGTCGTCAAGGAGAGAACGACTGCAGATCTCATGAGAGCCTTATCAAGTATGTATGAAAAGCCATTGACGAATGACAATGTGCACTTGATGAAGAAGTTATTCAATTTGAAGACGGTGGAAGGTATTTCTGTTGCTCAACACCTGAATGATTTCAATACTATCACAAATCAATTGTCATCTGTTGAAATTAATTTTGATGATGAGATATGTGCACTGATCTTGTTGGCTTCACTATCAGATAGTTGGGAAGCCATGAAGATAGTAGTTTGCAGCTCTGCAGGTAAATCTAATCTAAAATACAATGATATTCGTGATTTGATTTTGATTGAGGAAGTTCGCAGGAAAGATTCTGACGAGATCTCAGGTTCGAGTTCGGCACTGAATGTTGATTTCAGAGGGAGATGACATGACAGGAACTCAAGTATAGGGAGATCAAAATCAAATTTTAGTAAGCAGACAACCTGTTGGAATTGTGGCAAGGCTGGTCACATAAGGAAAAACTGTAGGAATCCTAAGAAGATGGAGAATGATAGGACAAATGTGGTATCTGAAGAATCACAAGATGCACTATTGTTGGCAGTTCATAATTCTTTTGAGACTTGATATTAGATTCAGGGGATTTGAATATGGTAGAAAATCTACCAGAGGCCACAGTGCAGAGCAGTGATGGAAGTGAAGAGGAAAGTGGGTCCGGGGAACCCATTCCTATTGTTCTACAGACAGATGTTGAAGAACCACAGAACTATAAAGAAATCTTGCAAGATGAAAGTTCGAGCAAGTGAGAGCTTGCAGAACTTCCACCAATGAAGAAGATATTGCACAACAAGTGGGTGTACCAGGTGAAGACAGTAAGAGGTACA